GAGGAGGGAGGGAGGGATCGGGAGAGGGACGAGGCGGGGAGGGAGGTGGAAGGATGGAGGATGGAGGAACTACCTTAGTGGAGGAGAGCAGGAACGTCGGCGGCGGCGGGCAATGACACTGGTCGGGGAGGGCGACGACGGTGGTCAGTGAACGGCGGCGGCGGCGGACGACTGGGGGATGCGGGGGAGAGCGAGAGTGGAGTGGAGAGGGGAGAGTGAGGGACGGCTGGTTGGAGAAGATATGATGGCTTTAATAGTAGCGCCCGTTAGGATAAAGCGCTACTGCTAAAGTACATTAGCAATAGCGCGTTTAAGGAAAACGGCGCTACTACTATACCTAGTCTGGAGGCAACACCGTGGCAATTGTAGTAGTAGCGCACTATTCGACTAACGCGCTACTGCTACTTGGATACCCGTAGCGAGTTTTCTAAAGCACGCTACTGCTAAGTAGCAGTAGCAGGTTATTTTAAACCGCGATGCTAGTAAGATTCTGTGTATAAGGTTTTTTCTAGTAGCGTCAACAGATCCTTAATCATCATCATCTCTAAGTATAACGACATCCCATTCCAGAGTGTGTTTCGTCCGATTTTTCTGCAGAACATGGACATGGATGTTCGTTGCAAGGCGCTCAATTGTAGGCTGCAGAAGCAGATAAGCTACATCATCGACGCCGATCTGTACAAGTGACTTGTGGGGCAGAAAATTTGAAAGAATTTCGTCTACATCTTCGAGATTATCCATTACCGCCATAAGTGTTGTGCCCATAACGGTGTTTAAGATGGTGTAATGCAGTGCAACAAATTAGTATTTAAACTTTAGTGAGTTCACACGGGAATATTTTTTATTTCGATCAACTGTATCTTATATCCATTTGTTTTTCCTTATTATTAGTTCATTGATTTTGTAAAAAAACCAAAAAGACAGCTTGTGAAGGATAACTCTGGTGCTGCATTTTGGTGGTGTAATAACTAATATGGTCTTGTTAATGAAAATCAGGGGAATTTTTTTTCGCTCAAAATAAACATTAATTAAAATCCGTGGCACAATGTGTGTACAAATAAATTCAATTTTTATACTAAATTTTTATACTTATTTGTAATTATTTATTAAATGTTAATAACAGTGTTCTCTATGCCACCTGTGTCATGTCTATAGTTTTAAAATATTGCTTGCATTGTGGTAAATATGAACCGTATACGTCACAAAAGTTACATCACCTTGTTACTTTTTGTTGCCTAAAAATACATATTTGAACAAAATCCCCATAAAAGTGAAAAAAAAAACATAATGCTTTCATGGATCGGATAATTTGTGATACTTCATGAACACATTGTATATATCTCTGTAAATCCTAAATGATCTTGGTAGAGCTCTTTAAAGAGTATGGTCTCAGAAATATCCTGACAGAGTTCTAGTTCATGATTATATATGTGTATGTAAATATTAAATGTAGAGTACATAAAATGTTTACAATATGCTTGTCAGCCGAATCATCAGCATTATGTTTTACGTATTTTTGTGGTCAAATGTGTCTCACATGTTAAGGAGGGTTCAACAATCCATAATAAATGTATATGCACTATATTTGGAATTGAAATTGAATCACTCACATTTGTGGCTCATGCCCACTATGTTACTAGGTCGAGCTGCATCTCCACCACTTGCAACGATAACATTGTCGTCGACCAGACCCTCTGTGTCCCTAGGGGTGGCACCAGGCTCTTGAAGGATCGGTCAGTACTTGCTGCCCGACATGCTACTGCCGGCACGCTTCGCCAACGCCTTTTTCCAGTACAATTGCACTCCCGAGCAGGCAACCGCTAACTTGCCGCAGCCAGAGCCGGTTGCCCTCAACGTAGGTGACTAAGGTGAAGGAGCAAGAATACTGCCGAGAACGCCATCGGCTCATGATTGTCTGACTTGCTTGTCACGGACAAGTGGCTCAGGGTGTATATCACTGTTGATCAAAGCTTATGAAGTTTGAGTTTTGAGAAAATTGATTGGCATTCTACTATAAAACAGAGGGGGTAACTAAAAATGCGAGCTCTGCTGACCAATATATAAGAAAGAAGCCATGTATGAGGCCATAAGGAACAAAACAAGAGCTGTAACAATGCCGTGTCTGACATGTATGTTCTTGAACATACTAGCCAAACCAAGCAGCAACATTTTTTCCGAAAATAGGCGGCACCATCAGAAGAAGCATGGTGACTCTCTATAAAGCCGAAAGATACTCCACTGCAGAAACAGGGTAAATATTTCGGTGCCTTACTCTCCAAGACACAGTATAGATGCAAGCAGTCTGTAGCGACATCCAAGATGCTTGAGCTGTAGGCATCCGCAAAAGCGAGATAGAGAGCAGTTACACTGGAGACTAACTGAAGCAAGTTCATGTCAGTATGGCATATGAGCTTCTGCACTACTAGGATAGGATGTATGCATTGGACTGAATCCGAAGTAGTGTTTCCGGATTATTATTAGGAAGGATGTACTACTGGAATGCAAGCAATCTTGGCCCATTTTAACATGGTTAATAGAAACTGTTGTTGATTTGTCAAGTTTATATTTCACACATATTTGGCAACCAATTTTTGGCAATACTCCATTGGACTGAATCCGAAGTAGTGTCTCCGTAAATTACTAGTAGGAAGAATGAGGATGTACTACTGCAATGCAAGCAATTTTGCACCATTCAAAGTCTGATTCAACTCTGAACACACATACTATTTCACAGGAAAGTCTGTCATAAAAGATACATTGGAGCAACAGAGCATCCGTCAGACTAACAAATGTTCAATCTGTTTGTTTGGTTGTTCATCAGTCATCATCACTGTGCTAGTGATTAAGACCAGAAGGAAGAAAGCAGGACCTATTCCAATGTACTCCCTCCGTCCCATAACATAAGAACGTTTTTGACACTACACTAGTGTCAAAAAGATTCTTATATTATGGGACGGAGGGAGTAGTTTCTGCCATGGATGTTCTTGCACATACTAACAAAACCAAAAAGCAACATTTTCCAAAAAAAGGCGGCATCATCAGGGAATATGTCCGTAACGAACCAGAGGACACAGTCATCCCGGAATGATCATTTGCAATGCATGGAAACTCTCCCAGAAGCTGAAAGATACTCCACTGCAGAAACAGGGAGAGTCATCCCGGAATATTTCACTGTCTGACTCTCCAATGTACAGTACTATGGATGCAAGAGACTGTAGTGACACCAAAGATTCTTGAGCTGGAGGCACCAGCAAGAGCGACTGCACTTGAGACAAACTGAAGCATGTTCATGTCAGTCCGGCATTGGAACTCCCTTCTGCTGGTACTGAATTGCCCAGGAGATGTATGCATTGGACTTGTTAGTCCGAAGAAACGACTCCGTAGATTACTAACAGGAACGATGTACTAGTGCAACGCAAGCAATCTTGCCCCATTAGAAACTCTGCTTCAAATCTGAACACACATGCTATTTTCATCAATCATCACTCACTGTGCTAGGGATCTCTTATGAAAATGATAATACTCCAAGGATGCATTCAGGTACAAGATTAATTCTCATGCAGAACTATACATTTGTTTGGTTGTTCACCATCATCAATCAGAGTTCAGACAAACAAGTTCATGTAGGAGTGTGTCCCAGAACGCTCATGAGCTGCGGCATCCAGGATGTTTGAGATGAGGCATCAGATGCGACCTAGAGAGCAACTGCACTTGAAACAAACTGAAGCAAGTTCATGTCAGGCATTGGATCTTCCTTGTGCTGGTACTGAACTGCCTAGGATGCACGCATTGGACTGAATCCGAAGAAACTGTCCCCGCATATTACCCGAAGGACGGATGTACTGCTGCAGTGCAAACAATCTCGCCCCATTTAAACTCTGATTCAACTCTGAAATCTCATAGTATCTCACAGAAAAGTCAGAAATAAAAGACACACTGGAGCGACAGAGCATTCTTCAGATAAGTACGTACTCTGTAACACTAGCAGAGTATTTTGTTTGTCTGTTTGGTTGTTCATCAACGATCATGACCATGCTAGAGATTACCGCAATACATAAATACTCCAAGAATGCAATCAAGTAGTGCAAGATTAATTCTTGCTGCAGGAAGAAGAGAAAGTACAAATTTCAGAGCCAAGTGGTACCGAGTAGTATCAAAGTTCAGTCTACAGGGGAGCAAGAACAGTAATAGCAAAGGGAACGACGATTAATTAACAGAGAAGAGAATGGGGGAAAGCAAAAGCAAGAAGCATCACTAGGCGGCGGTCTCCTCGGCGGCGGCGGCGGCGGAGTCGTCGGCGGACTGGGACTCGAGCGGGGGCAGCAGCTGGGCCTTGCGGCGGGTGTCGCGGGGCGGGACGGGGACGGCGAGGAAGTGCTTGGTCTTGGAGATGGGGCGGGAGCGGACGAGCTCCACGAAGTCGCCGACCTTGAACTGGTTGTCGGGGTCGTGCGCCTGGTACTTCTTCTTGATCTTCTCCCGGCGGTGGTACTTGGGGTGCTGCTTCAGCCGCGCCACCTCCACCCCCACCGTCTTGTTCGCCTTGGTCGTCACCACCCGCCCCGTCAGCTGCTTCGCCGCCTCGATCCTCAGCGCCAGCCCCGCCGCCGGCCGCGCCCCCGCCCCCGCATTGGGGCTCGGCGAGAGGTGGAGCTGGGTGAACGGCGACGCGAAGGAGGAGCCCAGCAGCATCTTCTTCGTCTTCCTTCTCTCTCGCTCGCGGAGGTGGGATTGGGGATGGGATAGGATAAAGATAAGGTCTTTTTTGTTCTGGGTTTCTTCCCAGGCTTCTTGCTCTGCTCCGCCAGACTACTTATATTTGGGCCTCTAGTACACGTGGCTTTTCACAAGACAGAATTGAGAAGACAGTTCTAAACAAGAGTAATTTTCTTGAGAGGTCAAACCGGTAATTTTCTTGCAATGCAATCTCTTAACTGGGAAAAAAATCAGCTAAAAAGAGGAAAATATTTGTGTTACAAGAGAGTATTGTTTTGAGAGGTTAACCCATTTCTTATAGGGCAACAGAGGACCTGTTGTGGATTTTTTTGATTATTTTCAAAAGTAATTCGTACCAACGAAAGATGGCTAAGAGAGTCATCAAACTAAAACACGAGAAAAAAAACAAAGAATACTAGGCAAGCCAAGTGACTTTTGGTCGAACCCTCTCTTAAAAAACCAAAGACACTCTATATATCCCGATAACATAAATCATACTTGACGCATGAGCTATGTCGACATCTTATTATTATTTTTGGGCGAAAACTTTTAATCTATCCATCAACTGAGAAGGTAATACAAAGAACACTATATGATATAGGGAAGCCGGTGAACCTTCGGAAAAGCAATTGAACCGAGTACAAGTTTGATGAAGGTTAGCCTCTTCTTAGTCCATCTCATAAGGCACTGATGCTTCAAACAAACCTCCATGTCTCATGGTATCGTGCTTGTCCATAACAAGAAGGGCCCAGCCAACGACAATTTTTACCTCGCCATCACCGATGGCACATCTATCTTGAGTTCCTGACTTATGTTGCAATGTTTGGGCGCGAAGCATACACGACCTTGTGCAGTGTTATCATCGGATTCGTAGTAGGTCTGGACGACAACTTCCAGGCTTCCTTTAGCTTCATAGAAGCATCTCACCTTGATAGGTGATGGTAACCATGTTCAGCCTGCGGGCATTTCACCATCCCTTTAGTTGAACACATAAGGCTACTTTGATGAGGGGTTAGTAATGCAAGTTATTACACCATTGATGACCGCAGGCGTCTATGATCGTGAGGAGCCAGCAACTCGACTGCCATATTCAAAAATCGATGGCTTATCTTCGACGATCTCAATGCTCAACTCAATATAAAGGCATGTACAATTTTCCAACTTTCTTTGGGTTTAAGTCCTTGATGCAGAACCAGCTCTTAAAGGAAATGGTAGATAAACAAAGAGCACCATGTCCCCTGCTGTAATGCAACATGGCGTTGATCAATGCCCGATCTCGACACTTTGTTCTACCTTTGCCCATCAGCCGAATTTCAAAGTCCAACAATGTGCGTGGACACAATCTCACGTGGGTGGGACAATCAGACGTAGAAAAGGATCCTGCAAGCGAACTAGTACTACACAAGTAGCAAAATAGGTACAAACCTACACGAAGTAAACGGTGCATGCATGTTAAACAAGATGGAGTTAGGTAATTAAGCACTAGTGAGGGGATAACCACTCACTCATGTTAGTGAAAAAGCCAATGGATTCGCCCCATAGAAATTACCAGCCAAGGCGGTACAAACTAAATTGCCCGATACAAACACGTGTATCGATATCGGGCCGATACAGATACGTAAATAGTGGACAATGCAGTGTCCCGGGGGGGATTGAGGAGAGCAATGCACTTGTCTTTGAGATTTAACCGGACGGCTACATGTTGGTATCTATGGTGGCTTCGATGGCTGCAAACTCACACCAATCAAGTACCCTCGATTAATTCAAACAAGTGTCATGGCAGTTTGATGGCTTTGTGACATCTCATAGCGAGCAGGGGCTGCAAAAGTTGGAGTAATCATGATCTGAGATGGATGAAGCTGAGAAAGGGTTTGTCAAAGTCAACGTGGATGCATCATTTCAATTATTAGAGAGGAGTCTTCGTGGCGGCTACATTCTCTATATTACCCTTTGTAGCAGATGTTACTACCGCCGAAGCAATTGCTACTGATAATGGTCTAATCCTCGTCAGTTCTATTGGATGCTAATTCGTGCAGATCGAATTTCCTGCAAAAAAAAAAAAATCGTGCAGATCGAAGCCGACACGGTAGAGATGGTACATGCTTGCATTGGTTAGAACAGATTATGAGGCACGGCCACAATGATCGTTCTAATTTCCCGTAGTAGGTACGATTTGGGTAAGTTGAGTTCATGCATTGTTTGAGAGAGGCCAACAGGCATTGCTCATACTATATCTACTAGTATGTATACACGTGCACCACACGTCTTAATATAACGGAGTGACTTCCGTAAAAGGGAAAAGAATTGATAGATGTGCTAATAGATTCAAAAAAAGAAAAGAAATTATAGTGATGTATAAATGCTAATATTAGTTAAATATTGTAAAAGCAAGAACTAGTACTCAAACCATAAAACTGTACGTTCATTTAAAAAGAACTAGCGTTGCTTCACTTTCTCCGTGTGCTCCTTTTTTTTTTGGAGAAATCTCCACATTCCCCTACTAAACCATCACGTCTGGGCACAATCAAACCATCTGGTGGTCATGTGGTAACACGGCCCATCGGGGCCAATTATGAGCTTTTTTCCCTAGAAACGGCACATGATGGTTCCAGAACACAGTAGAGGTAGCAGCAAATCCAATTCCAACATTTTATTGTGCGACTTCCGGCATTTTAGGGTTTAGATTTTAGGGTTTAGGTAGCAGCAAATCCAATTCCAACATTTTATTGTGCGACTTCCAACAAAGACTTCCCCTCTCGTCAGGGTATCTCTCTCCTCTCAGCGACGCCGCCGCCATCAATGTAGAGACCGATCTCCCCTACCGCTCCTCTCAGGCGGGGGCTTGCTGCGTCGCTGAGACACGGTGGCCGCGTAGAGGGGACGGACCTTGGGATAATACCGCTCGCGGACCCAAAACCCCGAGCGAGAGGATCATGGATTCGACTGCATCGGCGTTGGGGTCGGCCTCCTCCGATCTCGAAGCGCTGATGGAGGAACTTGGACTCAAGGAGGACGATCTGCAGGATGTCGTGGTGGAAGACGGCGAATTGCACAAGAGGCTACTCGCTGGATGGCGATCGCTAGGGTTCACACCGACAAAGCCTATAGCCAATATTGGTTCTACAGAGGCATGAAGGTGGCGTGGGATCTGGCGCAAGAAGTTAGGATCAGGCCGCTAGAGGAAAACCTCTACACCCTCCAATTCTCGTGTCTCGATGACTGGGAGAGGGTAATGGAGGATGGACCATGGAATTTCAAGGGGAAGGCGGTACACTGGTGGAAAAAGGGCCTTTGGTCGCGGTTCGCAACTGCCATTAGTCGCGGTTGCGCAACCGCGACCGAACGGGCGCGACTAAAGGCCCCACCCTTTAGTCGCGGTTGCTTAAGAACCGCGACTAAAGGCCCGTCCACGTGGGCGCCAGGTGGCCGTCGGGGCGGAGGACCTTTAGTCGCGGTTCTTCTGGCCAACCGCGACTAAAGGCCGCCGCAGGTTTAGGGTTTTAGCCCCCCCCCCCCCTTAAACCTGTTTTCTGTTTAATATGTATTGTTTTATTTCTTTTGTGCTTTATTTTAATTTTGAAGGAGTTTCACATATTCTACGGTACTACATACATGCATATGAATGTACAATTTCAAACAAATTTGAAATTAGAACCAAAAAGAATTCAAGAGGAATATACAATATATATTCAATATCATCGGATGACCATATACAATTTTGAACAAGTTTCCATACATAATTTAATGCATATAAAGTTCTACGTCCTCGTAATGGTGTTCTCCTTTAGGATGGAGGACTTCCCTCCTGAACCATCCAGCTAGTTCCTCTTGAAGTGGTCGGAAGCGAGCTTCTGGACTAAGCATCATCCGGAGGTTATTCCTCTGAGCATTGGTATCACTCGGAACCCGCTCAGAGGTGTATCTCCAGATCATCTCACAGACATAGTATGCACATAGATTGGTCCCCGCTGGCTGAATATCCTCACCATTCTTAGCCTTTGCCATTTTGAATTCTAGCTCTTTTTTGAATTCACCGACCTTTGTATCTACAAACCGTCTCCAAACCCTACGAGGCAAAGAAAATTAAATGAACAAGAGAGTTATTAGTTACTTGATATTAGGAAATGAACGAAATAGGCCGATCGATATAGAGCGCAAATGAATGAAAATAATTACTTCTGCAGCATTCTTCTCATGTCGACCCAAAGCTTTGGATCCTTATTCAGAGAGTCGTGGACGAGACATTCTGAGGTGTCAACTTTAATTACTAGCAGAATCCAGTGGAACCTGCGGACACGATACATGCACAGTACGTCATGCATAACTCATCAATTAGCCGGCCACATACCATGCATGGAGTAAACAAAAGAGAATGTGCTCAAGACAGAAACACTCACCCAAAATGGTAAGGAAATAGAATATCACTTTTGAGTTCCTGCTTTGTAAGAAACTGCCACAGGTCTGCCTCCATGTCGGCGGGGTGATGCTCCAACACATATCCATTAACGATGTGTGGGTCAATGAACCCAACATCATGGATGTTCCTTACTCTGCATTCCTTAATCTTCATTCTGCATGTATAATAGCGGACACAACAATATAGTTAGGACATATATATAGTGCAGGCAATATGAACGAGATGGGGTAGAAATAAATCACTTACAGAACGTAGCAACTGATGATAGATTTGTCGAGCTCGCGCAGATTGAAAAGCTGGAACAATTCACTCAGATGAATTTGTACATAGTAATGTTTGAAGTGATGCTCATATCTAACTTCCACATAAATATATTCTTTGGCGTTTTTATTTTTTATGTAACCCTTGTACCATTTCAGCAGACCTTTCATTTGTGGAGGTAGATCCTCTTCCTGCGCAGGCTCGACGAGAGGCCCATTCTTCACATATGTAATTACTACCTCCTTCACTGGCGCCTCATCAAGGCCTAACAGTTCACGAAGAGTAATACCTAAGTTGG